CCGGTGAGGACCTTCCCCCCATCCCAGTGTTTCCCGCGGCCGCGGACGGGTGAGCTGGTGAGGGGGCACGAGAGAAGAGGAAGGAGCGGTAGAGAGGCCGGCTGGGATCGCATGGCCGGCGTCGGCCTGGTGGGTGTGGCTGTCTGCGGTGCCGTCCCCGTGGCGCCCGTGCCGCGGGTCGGCGAGCCGGTGCCCGGGTTAAGGCACGTTGCGGGTGGGTTGTGTCGCCCGCCGGCTGCGGGGGTAGCCGCGTTGGGACCGGGTTCCGGGCCGGGCGGCCAGGAGCGGATGGGCACGTGCCCTCCGTCCCGCTGCTGCCGAGCGGGCCCTCGGGCCCTCCCCGCCGCGGTGTCACCCCCCCCCCGCTGCCTCCGCGGACGTCCTTGTCCAGATCACCAGCTTCCCTCTGCCCCTGCTCCGCCAACCCCTCCCGCGTCCGGGCCCGCGTGGCGCATCACATTCCCCAGCTGCTGGGGGCCGCCGCCACGTCCGCTTTTCCCTGTCGGCCCGCCTCCGTCTCTGCGCTCGCTCCCCGCGTCCCCACGCTCCTCTCCCGTCCTGCGCCACCGCGGGGCGCCACGCCTCCGGCCCCTGCCTCCCCTTGCCTGCGCGCCCTCGTGGTGGTCCCCTTACCCACTGGCTTTCCCGCACTGGGCGCCTCGCACATCGGTCGGGGGCGGGCTCAGCCTCGCCAGTGTGTAGCTGCCGTCCTCCCCCTCTCGGTCCGGCTTCGCCTTCCCCTCCGCCCCGCCCTCCTCCCCAGCGGCATCGGTGGCCCAGTCTGGGACCGGCTCCCCGCAGTGGCACCTTACCCCGCCTCTGGCGGGGTGGCCCCCGCTACCGGGCTTGCCGCGTCCCACGGCTCCGTTCACCCCCCTCCCCCGTGTGGTTGGGGGGAGTGGCGGCGTGTGGGGCCGGCGGTGGTGCGGCTTGGGGGTGGGGAGGGTGTCCGGCGGCCGCCTCCTGGGCGTCGCTGCCCCCCCACCTCACTCGTCAGCCCTCTCTTGTCCAGGTACCTGGTATCGCGTTCCGGTGCGGAGGTTTAAAGACCCATAGGGGGTTGCCCGTCCGTCCAAGTGTTCGGGGTGGCGGGCCCGTGGGGAGGCCGGTCCCCGGTCTCTCCAAGACTCCGCCCCCATCCCGGGTCGGGGCGGCCCACGCTCGCTTGCGGGCGGGCCGCTTCTCCTGCAGCCCGGGCTTCAGGGATGGGCACCCCTGGGGCGCCTGTGGGGTCGGGGGCGTCTGAGCGCCCGCCCACCACGCCCCCCGCGCTGGCGTGGCCATGGCGCCGGGCGTCCCCGTCCCCGTGTCTCGTCTGTCTGACCCCCTCTGTCTCGTTCTCGTTCTGCCTCTGCTGGCTGGCCTGAGGCGACCCGCCCGCGCCCTCCTCTCCCCTCTCGGGTTTGGGGGTGCGGGACCAGGAAAACAGCTCCATGCCAGCCGCATGTGCCCCGTGTCGGGCCACCACCCGATTCATACGACTCTTAGCGGTGGATCACTCGGCTCGTGTGTCGATGAAGAATGCAGCTAGCTGCGAGAATTAATGTGAATTGCAGGACACATTGATCATCGACACTTCGAACGCACTTGCGGCCCCGGGTTCCTCCCGGGGCTACGCCTGTCTGAGCGTCGCTTGACGATCAATCTCCCCCCGGGATTTGCCTTACCCCGGGGGATGGCGCAGTTGGGGGTGTCCCTTCGCAGGGCCACCTTTCGGGGGCCCTCCATCCCCCTAAGTTCAGACTCTGGCGGTCGTCGCTTCGCGGTCCCATCTGGCTTTTAGAGCGAGTGAGCGAGCGGTCATCCCGGGGGGGGGGGGGGTTGATATCCAAGCAGAGACGAGCCCGCGGCCGGGTCTTGTCTGTCCCGCCCTGCACTGTGTTCCGCTGTGCCCGAACTGGGGGATAACGTTTTCGCCCTGGGCGCTCGTGTCGGGTCAGGGCGGCCCCGTGCCGCGGCCGCTGGCCTCAAGCGAGCGCGTTGCGGGCCCCCTTGCCCCTCGGACTCGCACGCCAAGGTGGATGATCCCGCGGGACGCCGCGGTCGTGCCGTCCGCCAGACGTGCGCGTCTTCCCCGGGGAGGGCTCCCCGAGCGCAGCCCGCATTGCCGTGCCGGCCCGGGTCCTGTCCGCGTCCATCCCCTCTCATGCTGGCTCATGTCCCACCCCCGCCGTCCCCTGGATGGTCCTCGGGCCGCGGGGCCTTCCCGTGCTGCATGGCGTGGCTTTCCCCCTTTGCCACCGCCGCCTCTGCCTCTGCCTCCCTCGTGCGACGAGAGCCCGTCCGCCGGGCCAGGACGATGTTCCGGTGTGCTGCCGCTGCCCTTTGCCTTCCTTCCTCCGAGACGCGACCTCAGATCAGACATGGCGACCCACTGAATTTAAGCATATTAGTCAGCGGAGGAAAAGAAACTAACCAGGATTCCCTCAGTAACAGCGAGTGAACAGGGAAGAGCCCAGCGCCGAATCCCCGCTGCGCAGCGTGGTGCGGGAAATGTGGCGTATGGAAGACCCACTCCCGGGCGCCGCTCGTGGCGGGCCCAAGTCCTTCTGATCGAGGCCCAGCCCGTGGACGGTGTTAGGCCAGTAGCGGCCCCCGGCGCGCCGGGCCCGGATCTTCCCGGAGTCGGGTTGCTTGGGAATGCAGCCCAAAGCGGGTGGTAAACTCCATCTAAGGCTAAATACTGGCACGAGACCGATAGCCAACAAGTACCGTAAGGAAAAGTTGAAAAGAACTTTGAAGAGAGAGTTCAAGAGGGCGTGAAACCGTTAAGAGGTAAACGGGTGGGGTCCGCGCAGTCCGCCCGGAGGATTCAACCCAGCGGCACGAGTCCAGCCGTGCCGGTGGTCTCCCAGCGGATCTTTCCCGCTCCCCGTTCCTCCCGACCCCTCCACCCGCTCACGCGACCCCCGTCCTCCACCCGCTCCGGCGGGAGGGGGGGTCGGGGGCGTCGGGTGGGCGGGACCGGGGGTGGTGGTTCCCGTTCCGCGTCCCCGGCGCCATGGAGACGGGCGGTCCCGTCCATCCGTTCGCTTTTTCTCCACCCCCTCTATCCATACGCCGGCCCACACCCGTCCGCGGTGGAGAGGGTGACTGCCCGAGCGCCCCCTCCTCCGTCTTTCTCTCCGAGACGAATCGGGTTGACCAGTTGCCACGCGGGAACTTGACCCATTTCCCTCCGCACTTCGGCACCGCGGTCGACCAGTTGTCCATCCCGTTTTGGACTTAGTCTCTGGGGCCCCGGTCCTGGGCGCCCGCAGCCTCCTTCCCTCCCCCCGCGCCCTGGAGGTACCGCGGTCGACCAGTTGTCTTTCCTCTGTCGTAACCGTGACGACAGGGAGGAGGGCAGGGTTTCGACAGCCAACGTGTTGGGGCGGGGAAGGGGAGGGGGAGGAGTCGTTCGTTCCATAGATCCACCTCTCTCCTCCTCCCCTCCCCTCCACTCCACCCCCCCACCCCCGCCTTCTGGCTTGCTCCTAATCTCTCTTTAATATCTCTTTATCTTCCAACCCCTGCTTCCTGACCAGATGGTGATACCTGAAGCACTCAGCAGAAACCAGACAGCCAGAGGAGAACGCAAGCCATCCATTGCCCCGTCGGTGTGTACGTATGCAGGTGGCATATCCGTCCATCCTCACCTCCCCCGCAGGCGATTACTCGACCACCACCTCTGCCTCCCCCCCCACCGCCCCCCGCCCCCCCCCCCGCATCAAAATTCACAACCCTACCCTCGGAACAAAATAAAACAAATTTGCTTGAATCTCACACTGCCTTTTGTTTGTATTTGGCGACGCAATAGGCGAAAGGGAGGGATCTCATTTCTGGTGCCTGACCGGGGCGAGGGGGGGGAATTGGAGAGGAGAGAAGAGGGGGCAGAGGGCATCTCCGTGTTTCTGTGTGTGTATGTGCGCACACACATCCAAAGCGGGGGGGGGGGGGCGGGGGGAGGGAGGAAACTCAAAGATCGGATGCGACAGAGCATGTAGGCCAGCCGGACCAATTCACCACGTCTCTGTCTCTTGTTTCTCTGTTTCTCTATTTCTCTCTCTGTCTGTCTCTCTTTGTCTCTGTCTGTTGGTCTATCTGTCTGTCTGTCTGTCTGTCTCTCTCTCTCTGTTTGAATTCTCTTTCCCGCCCGCCCGCCCGCCCGCCCGCCCGCACTCCCTCCCTCCGTTTCCTCTCGACTTGCCAGTCAATCCTGGGGCTTGAGCTACTGGTGCTCCAACACACAACGGTCCCACTCCGAGCCTGCCTGCCTGCCTGCCTGCCTGCCTATGCATGGGCCCCATACTCCAACGAGGCACATCATCATCCCTACCCACCCCTTCTCTGAAAAGAAGGCAGTCTCTCTAGGGGCCAGCCAGCCTGGGCCTGGAAGAGAAGGACATAAAAGGCCGGTTTTCTCAGTCAGTCAGTGCGCGGTTTCTTTTTCATGCATTTCATGAGAGAAAACTGCAACTCACAAAACCACCACTAGATGGCGGGCGTTCGCCGTCGACAAGGTGGATGGGGCGGCGGGAGGGGCAAAACACGTTTCGGGTCAGTCACTCAGTCAGTCAGTCCTCACCTACCCGGTAGTGGGTAGTGAGAGTTCTGACATACACATACATATAGGTTGTTATAATTCATTATTATTGTCATTTGCTCTTCCTTTTTCCTTTTGGCCAGTCCCACCCGGGGCTTGGGCTCCAGGCCTGAGCACTGTCCCTGAGTTTCTTTATGCTCAAGGTCACTGCTCTACCACTCGAGCCCCTCTCTGGCTTGTTCTGTTTAGGTGGTACTGAGGAATTGAACCCAGGGCTTCAAGCACGCTAAGACACATTCCCAGCCCAGTCCACCTCTGGGATTTTTTTTTTTCTTCCTGTCACCATAATGAGTCTGCACCGGGTTCTGCCCGCCCGGAACCAGAGGTACAGTACTGTCCTCTGGGAGCTCGTGCTCTTGCATGACACGGTACTAATTCAGCCCCGAGGAAATCTTCACTAGGGCTTTTTCCCCCAAGTCCACCTCCCCTTCTGGCGTTTTGGGTGACCCATCGAGATGAAGAGTCTCAAATGGACTTTCCTGCCCGGGCTGGCTATGAACCACTATCCTCAGGTCTCAGCCCCCTCGCTCAGCACCTCAGACGGATGATGGGCAGTGAGCCACTGCTGCCACCGGCACCTCCCGGCCGGTGAGCCTTTGCCTGGGGTTTTTCTTTACGGACCGGCCGAAAGGTTTTGTGCCCTACCTGTCTTATGGATAAGTTTGCTCTGTTCTCGGTCTTATTTTTGTCCTCATGGATATCTTTCTTTCCCAAGGAAAAGGGACCTCGGCTCGGCTCGGCTCGGGGAGAGAGTCAATTCCCGAGGCAAGACGATCCATAGGAGGAACTTTCTGCCACAGTGTGGTGTGGTGTGGTGTGATGTGGTGTGGTGTGGTGTGGTGTGGCAGCTCAGATATCACAAGGACTGCCATCATGTGTGCAGGATACCCGAGGAGGGGAACTGCGGGGTGGGGGTGAGCAGAGGCATTTTCTCCTTCTGGAAACCAGATGATGATTGAATAAAATTAGCCATCCATCCTTGAGACATTCTCAAGGAGGTGGGCTGGGAATGTGTCTGGGTGGTAGACAGCTTCCCCTAAAAACTCAGGCCTAAATGGCGGCGGCGGCGGCATCCATCTTGTTCACAGACCGAGTGTCCACGTTCAAAATGAGAGTCTCTTCTGGGACGCTGGTTCCTGCTCCTTCCTTCCTTCTTCCAAGGAAGAAGTTGCGCTGGCGGGTGGGTTCCAGGCTGGCAAGCAGAGTAAGCAGAGCCCCACTGGGACTGAAATATGGTTCTTCCTGGAGTCCACAAGGAAAATCAAGACAGAGGGGGGGAGGGGGGGGAGGGGGGAGGGGGGGTGGGGAGGGGAGGGGGGGAGAGGGAGGACACAGAGACAGACAGGAGACAGAGTGGCAGAGAGAAAGACACAGAGACAGAGACAGAGAGAGACAGAGACCCAGCGACCGATGGAAAGACACACAGGGGAAGAGATGGAGGGGGAGCGAGAGATCCACAAGTCCAGCTAGGTCCCCTGAACGAATCATCGACAGACAGACAGACAGACAGACACGCAGACAGACAGGCAGGCAGACAGACAGACAGACAGACAGACAGACACACACACACACACACACACACAGAGGCAGACAGAGGGAGAGATGGGGAGGGGGGTGAGAGATCCACAAGTCCAACTAGGTCCCCTGAACGAATCATCGACAGACAGACAGACAGACACACTGACAGACAGACAGACAGACAGAGAGACAGACAGACAGACAGACGGACGGACACACACACACACACACACACACACACACACACACACAGAGGCAGACAAGAGGGAGATGGAGAGATGGAGGGGGAGCGAGAGATCCACCCACAAATCTAACTACACCACCTGAATAATCAGACAGACAGACAGACACATACACACACACACACACACACACACACACACAGAGGCAGACAGAGGGAGAGATGGGGAGGGGGGTGAGAGATCCACAAGTCCAACTAGGTCCCCTGAATGAATCATCGACAGACAGACAGACAGACGGACGGACGGACACACACACACACACACACACACACATACACACACACACACACACACACAGAGGCAGACAAGAGGGAGATGGAGAGATGGAGGGGGAGCGAGAGATCCACCCACAAATCTAACTACACCACCTGAATAATCAGACAGACAGACACAGACACACAGACACACACACAGACACACAGACACACACACAAACACCACACCGACACACAGGCAGACAGAGGGAGAGATGGGGAGTATAACTAGATCTCCTGAATCAACAAACAGGAACAGGCACACATGCCCCCACCATACACACACACAGACAAAGACAGAGACCGACAGGCAGAGAGAGGGAGACATGGAGGGGGAGCCCTAGAGACCCATCAGTGTGACTGACTAGATCACCTGAATAAATTTATTCCTTCCCTGCCCTGCCCTCATGTATTAAGGTAGACTATTGGTATGGAGTTCTTCTTGTCACCAAACACAGGTGAGGGCTAGTGACTTTTTACCCTTCCATGTACGGACTCTTCCCTTAGGACTCTTGATCTTGATTTCTATCATTGAATAAGAATTTCTGGAGGAATCAGAAAGAATGATATTTCCCCATTTGTTAGGAAATGGAAAGGCTTGGAAAAAATTATATTAAGTGAAGTAATCCAGGCCCAAAGAAACATAGGTCCCATGGTTTCCCTTATTTGCAATATCTAGTATATGTATGAGTCAAGCGGAAAAGTTCAGATAATGTGATGTTAGGAAAACGAACCCTTGAATATGTATTTTAATGTTTTCTTTCTTTCATGCATGTGTTTCTAACGCATTTATAGGATTGTTTCTTTGTTGCTTTGTATGTCCCCCCCCACAGTGTAACCCCCGCTTTCACTATATTTGATGTCAGTATAACTTGTGGGGGAGATGGGGACAAACAAGTCG